AAAAAAAAAAAAAAAAAAAAAAGTAATTTGATCATTTTTAGGTTCAAAAAGACACCCGACACCCAACCATCTTTTGCTGCACCATGGCCAAGAGATTAGTGTAACTGATGGAAAAAAGGCTTGCACTTGTTCAGTCTATAAACACAGTCTCTTTGTCACAACTGTAGTCAGCAACAGTGGGAAATTTCCAGTTTACTGTTTAAAAAGTCAGTGGGATGAATAGAGCAGGGGGGAAAAAATCCAAAACTTGAATTGTTCTAGAAAGACTTAAAAAAAAAAAAAAAAGCCCATGTTATTTCATAGTGCCAAGAAATCAGTCTGATATCAGCTTGCTTATTTTGTGGAACAGAGGGACAGCAGTTCTACGTAAAGCGACGTTAGGAGTTAAATCAGGACTAAATCATAGACCTGGGTGTGGAATGTCTGCAGTCTTTTTTTCGTGAGGCTGAGACAACCTGTGCTTGCGAAGAGAAGCTGGAAGTCGTTACAATAGGTGAGATTTATAAATGTATTGGACTTCCGCACTTCATGACCATGAAAACGAATTGAGATGCAACCCACAGCGGTGCAAGTACCCTTCACCCCATAATTCCTGCTCAAACTCAGAACGCACATCCACATCCTTGTGGTTCATGCTCACTCCAGATTACACATCACACAGCCTCGTAAAAAGTGGAAACACCTGGTAAATCTGTTATCTAATAAACTACATAAAACTACAAAATGATAAGGTAGGAAACACCCTTGAAGCATAAACAGTGATATTGAAAAATGACAGTCATGAGGTGTGTGATTTTACAGCGGTACTCTGGGTTTTATTTTTCCGATGCACTGGTTGGTCAGACATCTTTTTCGTCAAGCGGAGAGGAATCTGAAACACAGCTGGACCCCACAAATAACCACTGTCACAGCCCACCAATAACGACTGGATGAACGCAGGGAAAGATAACCAACAGTTCCTTAGGTCTTATTTTGATTGGTGAAATTTGATTGGAGGACAGATTTGTGATTCATGAGTGTTTTAAACAGGAACATGGGGCATCAACGTCCTTGCCTCCTGTTTGCCTCCGGTGTGTGGCGGCCCAGAAGACGTCAATGGTCTGGGGCTATGTGGGTGTATAGGAGCGTGTGTGTGTGTGTGTGTGCATGAGTGGGCACATGGGTGTATGAGCTGTGCTCAAGTTTGCATGAAATGACTGGTTTAGTCATTGTCTTCTTCATCTTCTTCAGATTCCTCAATGCCATCACTGTCCTCCTGGTCATCCTCCTCTTCCTCGGTTTCTGGGATATCCCACTGAGGGTGGTTATCCATCATGGCCTTCGCCTCATGAACCTCCAACTGAAACAGAAAAAAAGGATCACAGAGGTTCAAGTAAATATCTTAAAATGTGTAACATATATTATTATATATAAATTTTATATTATTTTTATATATTAATATACAATACATATTTTACATATATTATAATATATACAATATACATATTTTTCGTTATTTTATAAAGAAATTAATACGGTTTCTTGATCACCAAATCAGCATATTAGAAATATTTCTGAAGGATTATGTGACACTGAAGACTGGAGTATTGGCTGATGAAAAATCAGCTTCCATCGCAGGAATACATTACATAATACACATTAAAATAGAAAAGTTATTTTAAATTGAAATAATATTTAACAATATTACAATTTACTGTATTTGTTATAAAATAAAAGCAGCTGTGGTGAGCATAAGAGACTTCTTTTAAAAATCATTAAAAAAAAATCTAACCAACCCAAAACTTTGAACATGCATGGTTTTAAAATATTTTATAAAATGTATAAATACTTAATAAAATCAATATTTTAGAAAAATGTTATGAATATTTTTATAAATACTTTATAAATATATAGCATAGAAATAAGAAAACATTTCCAAAAAAAAAGATAGTATAGGGAAAAAAAAAAACTGACCTTGAGTGGCTTGATCTGATCTAATCCCATGAATGAATCTGATCTGAGAATCACAGAATATTGATAGTTTCCGGTTTTGGATGGAGCAGGGAATTTCAGTTCAACCTGAGGCAAACAGGAAGTTTAGATAATCATTGGTCACTTTACACAACTCAGCAAAACCTAAAACGGAGGAGTAAATTGGGAGATATGGGATGATTTATGACCCTTTTGTTTACATTGCATTCTCATGCTCCTCACAGAGAGGAAGCGCTCTCTGTGTCAGACAGAATTATGACAGGCGTCTGGCTGCTCTGTAACCAGACAGAGACTGCAGTATGGAGGTTGCCTGGCAACAGGCTATGGGGGAAAACTGCTGCGCAGGAGACACACACACACACACACACACACACTTTACTACATTATAATGACAGCACACCATATCGCAATTAATTCTAGTAATTTGTTTTTGCCATTATGTATTCTGGTTTTAAATGCTTTGTTATTTCTACTGTAAGACTTTCAAAAAAACAAAACAAAAACAAAACACCGAATTAATTGACTGAAAATCTTGCATCGTACACTACCAATTCCATAATGACATAACCCAGAGTCACGATTATGAACTAATAAGAACAATAAAGAGATTTTTGGGTTCCCACTCTTTTTCACTACGGACTTTCCATGACCAGTCATCTGAGATAATCATTCTGATTCAGACTGATTGAACCAGTTTGATCAATTTAATTTGATTCAGTTCAATTCACTATTCCATTCACAAACAGTCAATTAAAACTATTAAACATTCGGTTGTTTGGCTGTATTGATATTAATCTGAAATGAAATAAAATACAAATATTACATGAAAAACAAACTAGAAAGGTTGCATTTGTAACTAACTGAAATAAGTTTAAATTGAAGCAACACAATTATTAACTGTAAATACACAAAAAGCTAATGAAATAAATGTAAATTAAACCTTAATAGTAGTATTAAAAAAATAACAATAAAAAGATTTTAAAAAATCACAACTGAAAATATAAAAGTTGATTCAAAACATTCATAAAAAAATTATTTTCATGACCAGTCATTTATACTGGAAAATTATTATTATTTTTAATTAGTCTGATTCAGACTGATTTACTAATGAACATTTTGTGAACCAGTTTGATCAATTCAAATAACTTCCCTCACACATGGGGTTATTACTGTTAGCTAAAACTAAAACTATTAAAATCAATTTGGTTATTTGAAATAAATCTGAAATCAAATAAAACATTACATGAAAAACATAATGCTAAACATAAATTAGAAATGTTGCCTTGACAACTAACTGACAAAAGTTTAAGTTTAAGCAATAAAATGACTAACTGGAAATAAAAAACAAGAGCTAAAACTAAAAATGAAATAAACCTAATAATGAAATTACACTGCTTACAAATCAAATATCACTATGATTTGCAAGCACAATTTACTTTACGCAAAAGGTTGTCTAGCCAGTAAAAATATTTTTGAGCAAGTTTCCACGACTTTAAGATTTTAAGTCACTTCCATGCCCAGAAATCCTGTCAAATTAAAATTCCCCTCCACTGAGCACCACAATGTCACCCTTTCCCGAATAAAAAAAAAAAAAAGGTGTGGAAGAGCACAAACAGGTGGTTGTCGCCTCACCTCCTCTGTGTCTTTGAGTGTGCAGACGTGGTTGGGCATAGACACCAGCGTCTGTTCCTTCCTATCTGCAATGTAGAGCCACCACCACTCCTGCTTCTCCTCAGGGAAGTACAAGCTGTAGACAGGATGTGTGACCTTAGACTTGGTCTCCAATAGTGCCCTTTCACGGCGCTGAATGCTCTGTTGTAGTGCCTCCCATTCCTACAGAAGAAGACATGCTGGTTGTGGAAAGCTGCACTGCAATAACTACCATCAGCAGTCACTTGTCCAAAGGATATGACACGCACCTCCTCGTCATCTCCGGCAATCTCATCCACCTCAGTGTCACTCTGCTTGTCACTCTCCTCATCTCTCTCGCTGGGAGAGTCCTTATTTCCCTCTGCTTCATCTGATTCACTGCCTTTATCAGAGAGATCGTCCTCTTCCATTTTTGATGCAGAAGCAACATCCTGTGAACGAAAATATAAGCACATGCAGTTGAACGAAAGATTTTTTTAATTTTGTCAATTATATTGCAGAAAATGTGCATCATAGTAAAACTGACTAAAATTAATGACATAAATGTGACCCTGGACCACAAAACCAGTCTTAAGTCGCTGGGGTATATTTGTAGCAATAGCCAAAAATATATTGTATGGGTCAAAATTATTGATTTTTCTTTTATGCCAAAAATCATTAGGATATTAAGTAAAGATCATGTTCCATGAAGATATTTTGTAAATACTACCTACTGTAAATATATTAAAACTTAATTTTTGATTAGTAATATGCATTGCTATGAACTTCGTTTGGACAACTTTAAAGGCGATTTTCTCAATATTTAGATTTTTTTGCACCCTCAGATTCCAGATTTTCAAATAGTTGTATCTCGGCCAAATATTGTCCTATCATAACAAACCACACATCAATGGAAAGCTTACTTATTCAGCTTTCAGATGATGTATAATCTCAATTTCGAAAAATTGACCCTTATGACTGGTTTTGTGGTCCAGGGTCACAAATATACACTACTGTTCAAAAGTTTGGGACTGGCAAGATTTTCTAATGTTTTTGAATCAAACCTCATACATTTATTTGATCAAAAAACAGTAATATTTTGGACTATTGTTACCATTTCAAATAACTGTTTTCTATTTTAATATATTTTAAAATATAACTGATTTGTGTGATGGCAAAGCCGAATTTTCAGCAGCCATTACTCCAGTCTTTAGTGTAATATGCTTCAGAAATCTTTCTAATATGCTGATTTAGTGGTCAAGAAACATTTTTATTATTATTATTATTATTATCAAAGTTGAAATGAGTCGTGCTGCTTTTCGTGGTAACTGTGATTAAAAAAAATTTCAAAGTTCAAAAGAACAATTTAATTGAAATGGAAATCTTCTACAACATTGTACATGTCTTAACTATCACTTTTGGTCAATTTAATGCATCCTTGTTGAATAAAAGTATTAATTTCTTTAAAAAAAAAAAATCTTTCTGACCTTTTTGAATGGATAAAATTAAAGTCTTTTTCTTTAAAAGACAAAATAATGTGTAACACTCAACATATACAGGTCTATAGTTTTAGAATCCTTACATTTCCTGCCACATTGCCATTGGGGTGTTTGGCCTTGTCTCCCTTTGCTTGCTGTTGGGTGACTGGTTTCTTCTTAGTCAGTTTCTTCTTTTTGGACTTGGCAGCTTTTTTAGCTCCTTTATTCTTATTTTGCCAAACTTTTTTGTTTTTGGCATCACCTTGCTGCAAATGGCAAAATAATATTCATATACTTTTCGACATTATAATGAGCAAATAACAAAATGTAAATATGCATTTTTAATTCGTTATAAAATGATGTTTGACAAACAGTAATAGCTTGAAAGCAATACTACCTCCTCTGCATTAGTTTCCTCTGTAGGTAGCGGTGCATCCTCTTTCTCAAACATCTCCTAAACACAAACAGAAATTTAGTACAATGTTGTTGCACGTTTTAAAAATAATACAGACTGTTTTGGTAGTAGGTAGTCTTGCTGAAATGAATTCTCAACCTAAAAACCAAAGTAGCTCAGCATTGACCTCTTGTGGATGCCTGCTGCAACTGCAAGATGTGCCATACCACGACCATAATCACTTTGTAATGTGAATGTGAAGTGACATGTGGCCACAACCTTTGGGTTACAAGTCCGACTCTCTAACCATTAGGCCAAGACTTCCCCAAAGTCAAATCACTTTGCATAATACATACAGAGGTGACACTTCTCCGGGAAAGTCAGACCTCGCGTTCGCGGGACTGACGAAATCTTCCAACTGAACCATAGCTAAGGTTTGTCCAAAAAAAAAGTCGCTAGGTTTGTCAGTATGAATATTCTATGGAAAAAAGCCGCTAAAAGGGTCTGAAAGTTGCTAAATCTAGTGCTAAAGTTGCGCTCGTGTGTGTGTGAGACGCGGGAGCTGATGGCAGGGGGCGGTGGATATTTGTGGCGGTCAATGTGGATATTGTGGATGAGTTCTTCTGTGTCATCACGTTCTATTAGTTCTACAGCTTCAGTTTCGGAACTTTCACGCTTAGTAACACATACAGCTGTTCCCTCACCAGAGTGCAACAGTGAAAAGGGACCCCTTTCAAACAGTGTCGCGTTCCGAACGTTGTTTAAGCGACATACACCGGTATTGCGGTATTTTAAAAATTCATTTCATAGCAAAAAAAATTTTTTTTTTAAATTCAGTATGAACCGGTATACCGCCCAGCACTAATACATAACATATAAATCAACTGCTATATTTGAATAGCATTACACCCTCACCCTCAAATAAGCATCTGGATAGGAAATGGTGGCTCATGAGATATTCTCGCAAATATGCTACTTACAGACATTCTCTTCCTCCTCAAGGTGACGGTAACTGTGACAATGGATCCTGCCGTGACGTTATTGCTATCTTCATCATCCAACACTATGGGGCAATGAAACATATGCAGATTTTAAGTCTTTAAATCACACGTAATGGTTTTTATTGAATGTATGAGTGTTCAAGCGCTGCTGAACAATCTCACCTTGAAGTTTGGTTTCCATGTTGATATAGGGAATGCTCCCGAGGACCGCCATGACCTCATCATACTTCTCCTCCCCCAGGAATCTCAGCATGTTTCTCCTGTCAGAGTCCTTCAGACTGACCAGATCCTGCAATGTCCGTACCTTATACTGATGAGAGAGATGGGCCCGATTTAGACATTTGGAAAACAGGCTTTGCATAGCAACCACAGATTAACTGGGGTATCTAATGGATTTTTCTTTGTGCTGCAATGCCTTGGAGAAAGATGTACCTTCTTAGAGATACAGTATCGGAGGTGTTCCTCTTCAAAATGGGGCAGCTGCAGCAGAGGAGACTTGGCCTCCTGCAGTCCTTGAACTACCATCTGAGACAACTTCATGCAGTTCTCTATGGACGTCAACCTGGGAGCCCGAAGCCCTATAAAATCATACATCAGCAAAATATTTTTTTCAATGGATCATGTATCATATTATATACACTACCTTTCAAAAGATTTTTTAATGTTTTTCAAAGAAGTCTCTTATCCTCACCAAGCTCACCAAGGATGCATGATGAAAAATACATTAAGAAAAGCAATATGATGAAATATTACTACAATTTCTATTTTAAAGGGGTCATATGATGCGATTTAAATTTTTCCTTTCTCTTTGGAGTGTTACAAGCTCTTGGTGCATAAAGAAGATCTGTAAAGTTGCAAAGACTAAAGTCTCAAATCCAAAGAGATATTCTTTATAAAAGTTAAGAGTCAACCACGGCTACCTAAAACGGCTCGTTCTAACACGACCCCACGTCTACGTCGCTATCTGGGAAGATTTGCATAACACCGCCCAAATGTTCACGCAAAGAAAGAAGGCGTAACTTTTATTCTCGCTGTAGTATTGTTGTTGCCGCCGCCATGTCGTGAAGGCACTGTGTGTTTCGTTGTGAAAGCGAAACTACTTTGTTTGGTCTTCCAAAAGAGGAC